AACAGTAAACAAGAGAACATGATCACCAAAGACATTATTACTTTACACCAAAGCAAGATAATCAACAAAATAATAAACAAACAAACTATACAATTGCAAAAACAATATTGCACAAAATTAGCAAAGCAATATATAAACAAATTTGAATTACCTGATGTTAGACAATATCCCAAAACCAAAACACATTAAGCCAACAACCCATGAACCCATCCAATATTAGCGGATTAAACAAACATATTAGAACAACCTTAGATGATACCAATGCTCACATCTGCATACATATTAATCACAAAAGTTCACAAGTTAAAAAAAAAATCAATTCTTGGATAAAAAACTTCAAAAATTACAATGCATCACCTACCTCTATAGCAATGATTCAGGACTAAGCGAAACCTTTGGCCCTCTTGACAAAGTTTGGGTCAAGAGCAAACTAGCTCTAGCTTTAGTTTTTTATTAATAGAAAATATACTATGTTATATTATGTAATGTTTTTATATATAAATTTCAATAAAGAAAACTGAAGCAAGACCTTACTTTTTTAAAATTATAATAATAATAATAAATAAATCAACCAAATTTACAGTATATTTATTACTTTTATTTGCATTAACTGAGCTATATAAACAAAAAGTAAATATTTATAAACTGAAATAATTTAATAGATCATTCAAATTCATAAATACTTACAATCAAGTAATGCTTTTTATTTTATTTCATTCAGAAATATGAAACTATTGATTTATTAGCAACATCCAAAATACTGTATTAGAATTAGGCGGCTTCACTGCCTGCACTATCATATTTTAATTAACAATTATTTAATGCCTACATCTTTTTTTGATGTTTATTAGCTTTTGTTAAAACAATTTGGGAATTTCGATCATCTAATAAACTTTTAAAATTGAAAAAGGTACTGATTTTATTGATTGTCTCATTTAAAAACAAAGCAAAAAAAACTAATATACGTAATAGATTCATGTTGCATATCTATAGTGACAGATTGACAGAATCTCTTAAGATAAGTTGGTGAAATAAATAATTTGATAAATTTTTTAAACATGTTAAACTATAAAATCAGCAGTATAAATTGATACAGATTTTTAATCATCATATTTCAAGATAACGGGTTGGAAAAATCCACCTTGGGGAATATTTATAATTTCGGTATCACTAATTCTAGACATAAAGCCCTGAACAACACCATCAGCAACAAAAACTGAAAGATCTTCATACCTATTATCTTTGGTATTTTGTAAACAACAGAGTTCTTGTATTATCCATTCTTTATTTGAATTCATAACCTCTTTTAATTTGTCTTCCCAATTATTTTTAAAATTTTTTCCAATTACAATTTCTCTACCCCTGCTTGAATCGCCTGCCTTAAGAACTGCTTTATGTTGTTCTAAAAGATTAAGATTTTTTGTCAGATCACTTTTTGATAGTGCGTAAGTTTTAGGAATAGCATCAGTCATGTCTCTATCATATAGGATGGATAGAAATGATTTGTCACCGGATATAAACATGCATTCAAACGAAGGTATTTGCGGCAATCTTAAGTTTGATAGCTTGAATATTAGTTCTGAACGTTCTATCAACCCGGTATGACATCTCCAAAATAATCCAGTGGGAGCAAAATCGATAATATCTTGAATGGCAGCTTCAGTAAGGTAGAAAGTTTTGGCTTGTCCACCTAAACTTTCAATTTGTCTCGTCAATAAATCACATTCAACCATTGTATCTATAATAATAATTGCTATATTTGGTCCTAACTTATTTAACACATAATTTGCATGAAACATCGGTTGGGGTGCAAGAGGAACACCAATTTTATCAGCTGATGTTTCTTTCTCAACCAAATTTGCTATTATCCAACAGGATTGATTTGCTGTATTTAGTTCTAATACTTTAAAGTTTTTTTCTTGGTCCCGGGCAAAATCAATTCTAATTAAATTAATCCCAGTTTGACCGTTTTTCCAGAGTGATTTAACAACACCATATCTTGATTCCATCCATGGTTCTACTTCGTTTTGCTTTATTATTTTGTTGATTATCTTGCTTTGGTGTAAAGTAATAATGTCTTTGGTGATCATGTTCTCTTGTTTACTGTT